GCCAGGGTTGCAGGCTGGATCCCCAGTAGGGGGCGTGCAGGAGGCAGCCGATCAATGATCCTCTCTCATCGTTGATATTTCTATCTCTCTTTCCCCTCTCCCTTCCTCTCTGAAATCCATAAAAATATATATATTTTTTAAAAAGAATTCTGACCTTTGCATTGGGCTGATAAGAGTAGAAATGAGGGAGGGGTGTCCATTTGGGGGGTTTCTTTGGCATTACAAGCGACCTCCTCCACAGAACTCCTCCTTGAGCTCCCTGCCCACACACCTGCCCTCTCCACGCTGACTGTCTTAATGAACCTGGGTACACAGTCACCTAAGGAGAAGGTCATGCAGCAGATGGAGCAAAGAAAGGGGAGAAAACAATCCCTTGCCACTCACACCCATTCCAGCCAGATGAGTTCACCTTTTAACAACTTAATGCAGCCTTTATCCATCTGAAATAGCTTTGACAGCTGGGAAAATTAAGATTATGACAGGACTCTGGTTGGTTTTGAAGAGATTATAAATCCTCTTATTTCAAAAGTGCCAAGTGAAAGGTTTATAAATCCTGTTAAGAATTTTAGCTTTTATCCTGAGAGTAAGGTAGCCAGCCATTGAATGGTTTTAAACAGGAGTGATGACCTGGGCTGATGTTTTGATCTAGAAAGAACACCCTGGTTTGGAAGGCAGTAGGATGGAGATATATATATATATCATGGAAGAAGGGAGCGGGAAAGAGAGACAGAAACATCCATGATGAGAATCATTGATTGGTTGCCTCCTGCACGCCCCCTCCTGGGCATGTGCCGCTGACTGGAATCGAACCTGGGACCCTTCAGTCCACAGGCTGACACTCTAGCCCAGTGATGGTGAACCTTTTGAGCTTGGCGTGTCAGCATTTTGAAAAACCCTAACTTAACTCTGGTGCCGTGTTACATATAGAAAATTTTTGATATTTGCAACCATAGTAAAACAAAGACTTATATTTTTTATATTTATTTTATATATTTCAATGCCATTTAACAAAGAAAAATCAACCAAAAAAATGAGTTCGCATGTCACCTCTGGCACGCGTGTCATAGGTTCACCATCACTGCTCTAGCTATTGAGCAAAACCGGCCAGGGCAAGGTTTCACATTTCCCACACAAAGAAAATGAGACTTCCTGGGAAATGTGAGGAGCTCTGGGGGCCTGGGAACTGGGTGTGGGAAATGGTGATAAGAAATCTTTGAGCAATTGTGGATCTGCTGCAGTTTGGAGGGGTGGGCATGGGGGGGGGGGGGGGCGGGGAGTGAGATCTGAGTTTCTTTGCCATGAATGTGAGGGTAGAGGGAAGGGAGAGGCACAGAGTCCCTAAGAACCTTTAACTTTGCCATTTTACTGAGAACTTGCACATTGGGTTATTCTTCATTGAGCTTCATTTAGTAGCAGATTCAATACACAATTTATAATTGTACCTTATTGATTTACCTACGTTTGCAGTTGTTTACAAGTCCATGACGTACTTTTTATTTCTCCAGGGCCGAGACCCACAGATGCCCATAGGAGGGCCCTCTGCAACAAGGGAGGAAGCCCTAGGCAGCCTCACGAAGCTTTCCCCGTTTCTATCCTTGGGCATTCCTCAGGCTGGGCTCCCCTTTGAGGGAGAGGTCTGCCTGGGGCCAGGGAGGGGTTGGAGGTGGGTAGACCCCAGAATTACACCATCTGGGATTAACTCCCAAGCAGGAGATTGCACCAGAGTCATCAAAATGCTTTCTTCCTGTGTAATCACTTGACAGGTTAATCAATGATTGATTGAGGATACTCCTGATCCCTCCCTCTAACACAGTGGTTCTCAACCTTCCTAATGCCGCGACCCTTTAATACATGTTGTGGTGACCCCCAACCATAAAATTATTTTCGTTGCTACTTCATAACTGTAATGTTGCTACTGTTATGAATCGTAATGTAAATATCTGATACGCAGGATGTATTTTCATTGTTACAAATTGAACATAATTAAAGCATAGTGTGCCAGAACCGGTTTGGCTCAGTGGATAGAGCGTTGGCCTGCGGACTGAAAGCTCCCGGGTTTGATTCCGGTCAAGGGCATGTACCTGGGTTGCGGGCACATCCCCAGTAGGAGATGTGCAGGAGGCAGCTGATCGATGTTTCTCTCTCATCGATGTTTCTAACTCTCTCTCTCCCTTCCTCTCTGTAAAAAAAATCAATAAAATATATATTTTTTAAAAAAAGCATAGTGATTAATCGCAAAAACAATATGTAATTATATATGTGTTTTTCCGATGGTCTCAGGCGACCCCTGTGAAAGGGTCGTTCGACCCCCAAAGGGGTCGAGACCCACAGGTTGAGAACCGCTGACCTAGAGATTTAAGAGAAGATATCAAAATACCAAGCAATTTCATATTTAGTAGTTGCCAGTACAAAGCATGAAACTTTAACTTATTTTTTCTTTTCTTTTTTTAAAATATATTTTTATTGGTTTCAGAGAGGAAAGGAGAGGGAGAGGGAGAGAAAGAAACCAACAATTGTTTAGTGATTGTCTACCATGGGGCAGGAACTCAGCCAGCAGGCACTAAAGACCCAGAAATCGATGACACACAGGGTAGGAGAGGACAGATAGAAGGAGTACTCTTTCCCCTCCCCCACCCCCACCCCCCACATGACTACAATGTGTGATACATGCCTTGTAATAATATTAATATCAATAATACCTAACATCAATTGGGTTGACTATTTGCCAGGTGCTGAACTGAGTGGTCTTCAATTCATCCCTCATTTAGTCCTTACAACTCCATGAGATAGATGTGTTTATAATCCCCACTTTAAAAATGAAAAAAAAATAAATAAATGAGGCACAAAGAAGTTAAGTGACTTGCTAGGAAAAGGCAGAGCTGTGGTTTGAACCAAGGGCTGGCTCCAGGAAGCATGTTCTTGACCATGAATGAAGCAAAGAGCAGGGTGAAATAAGGACTTGCCTTCAGATGGGAAGATCTCTCTGCCCTCCCTATACATACCCTCAGCCTTTCCCTGCCTTTTTTTAGCCCAATTAGGATGGCAATACCATTGACCTACTGACCTGACCTGAATATCTAGTACTGGGGTGGCTGTGAGTCAGAGCAGAAAATGCCAGACAATTTCACATGGAGCTGTTGGGTTATAAAGAAGGATTAAGAATGAAGTTAGGGTCAGGGACAAGATAATCGTGCCTTGCCAACATAATCACATCCCCTGCAAGCTGTGATAAAAATGATTGAGTCAGAAGGTTCTGCTTTGTGCAAGAGTCATCTGACTCCCAAAGAGGCCATCCAGGGTAGTGGTACCTCAATGACTGTACCACAGATCTGAACCTGTTTCACAGCCAAGTCAGTATCTTGAGGTTCATGAGTCTGGACGAGCCTGACCCCCAGCATTCCAACTCATAGGAGTCTGAAGTATATACCCATTAATTTATTAACACTTGGTGTTAGCCCTTCAGTAACTCGAATGCTCCTGTGGCAACTGGCCACCCTTTTTCCAATACCAGCAATCCCAGGAAGCCAAACAAGTCATTAGCAGGCCGGTTGGTGGGTGTTTCTCATGTGTTACGGGAAGATTTCATCCAAGTCAGGGTGGAGCTTAGTGAGTCATCTCCGCCTCATAGGGCACATCTGTGTGAGCTCCAATTTCATGTTTCTCTCTCCTGGGCAGTGGTGGGTAATAAAGTGCCAACTTCTGGCCTTTTGGCTTTTATCCAACTTTTCTTTCCTTCCTCTTTCCCTACTCCATTCTTATCCCTCGTTCTTATTTCATGTGTTCTCCATAAAATGCAATTGATTAGGTTGATCATTTTATTGTCATCACATTCCAGCCCTGGCCCCCTAAGATGAAGTCAGGGAAGTCACCTTGATGGGTAGGCTGGTTATTCCCAAGCTCTTCATTTAATTGTGGATTTTGTTTGTTTGTTTGTTTGTTTGTTTATCCTCAAATATATTAGGCTGAACCAGATGAAATTGTAATTTTGGTAGGTTACAAGCAATCAAATAGCAGCAACTTCATGTGGTCCAACTAACAGCAGACCAGATCCATTAGTGGGAGGGGGGTGGGCTTAATTAAGTCCAGTGCTCTTCTGCAAGCCTTGGTGGTAGGCGTTGCCAGGGGAGCGCTCATGCATGACAGATTTTTCTGGAAACAAGCTCTTCGGGGTAACTACTTGTGTCAGGAGCCTTACTCCTCTTGCTGTCCCTTTATCCTCCAACGAGGGCCTAATGCCAGGGATGTGCAAGGGAGGAACTTCAGGTTGAATTCTTTGTTATCTGTGACAGAGTACTGTTCTGAAGCCAACAAGGAACAATTTTGAGGAACACTTTTATTTGTTTATTTGTTTATTATTTTTTAATCTTCACCCGAGGGTATTTTTCCATTGATTTTTAGAGATAGTAGAAGAGAGAGGGAAAGACAGAGAAAAATATTGATGCGAGAGAAACACATTGACTGGTTGCCTCCTGCATGAGCCCTGACCAGGGCCTGGGCTAGGGAGGAGCCTACAACCGAGGTATGAGCCCTTGGTGGGAATCGAACCTGGGACCCTTTGGTCCCCAGGCCAACACAATGCTCTATCCCCTGAACCAAACTGGCTAGGGCCACTTTTATTTAATATATATATATATATACACACACACACACACACACACACATATATATGTATATATATATATATATTTTATTGATTTCAGAGAGGAAGGAAGAGGAGAGAGATAGAAACATCAATCATTGATTGGCTGCCTCCTGCACGCCCCCTTCTGGGGATCGAGCCCTCAACCTGGGCATATATCCTGACCAGGAATAGAACCATGACCTCCCAGTTCATAGCTCCGTGTTCAACCACTGAACCACACCATCCGGGCTGAGGAACATTTTTATTTTTATTTTTATTTTTTTTTAAATATATATTTTATTGATTTTTTACAGAGAGGAAGGGAGAGAGATAGAGAGTTAGAAACATCGATGAGAGAGAATCATCAATCAGCTGCCTCCTGCACATCTCCCACTGGGGATATGCCCGCAACCCAGGCACATGCCCCTGACCGGAATGGAACCTGGGACCTCTCAGTCCGCAGGCCGACGCTCTATCCACTGAGCCAAACCGGTTTCGGCTGAGGAACATTTTTAGATAGTCCATGGTTTGTATATTCACCTGTTAATATGGAAAATTAAGAACTAATGGAGACATTTCACATTTTACAAACATCATTCAAACATTTGTGTAATATAGGCTGTATGCCCAACACCATTCCTACTTGCAAGGATTTTCAATGTGCTATAATTGTATGTATACTTATGTGACTGCTCCTAGCTACCATCTTACCATACAGTAAATTCTGTAATGGTAGGGCTTATGTTTGATTTACTAACCCTTAACTCCTATCATAGGGCCTGGCATACAGTAGGTGCTTTATATTAGTGATGAGTGAATGAATACATACATAAATAAATGAAGGGGTTAAACAAATAATGGAAATACTAGGAAGGAATTAAATACCATGTCAAATGAAAGGTCTCTGGGCCTTTAAAGGTCAGGAAGCAGGCTGCTTGTAAAAGTCAGCAGAGGCTCCGTGGAGAGGTGACCTGAAAGTGGTTGCTCTCCAGTTGGATAAGGTTGGTGAACAGCTCAGGCAGTAGCACAGTCGGCCTCACAGCTGTGAGAGAGGAAGCCACAAGTGAAAAGAAGCCACAAATGCAAAGTTGCTCCTCATTTCCTGGCTAGCGCTTTGGCCAGCAAGAGCTGCATTCCTTTGAGCTGAGCATGTGTGGAATTTCCAGCCTAGGTAGCAGAATGGAACTTGGAACAAACAGATCAGCAAAAAAGAACCCAGGGACAATGGGGCTGGGCCCAGCTGCCCTTTGCCAGCTTTTGACCTCACAGAATATTGGAGCTCAGGGGGCCTCGTTGAGGGTGATAAATGATGTCCTTTGGATTGTACCACTTCAGAAGACCCAGAAATTTCCATGTTCAGACAGCATTAGGATCCTTAGATGTGCTGAAATACCTGGGAATGGTCTGAATCCTCGCCATCATTCAACTTTCCATCTAGCAAGGACAAGTAAAGGTCTGTTTTTCTTTAAAGATGGGGAAAGTCCAAACATTAGAAGCAGAGGGAAAGATACCTTCATCAAAAGAGAGCTGGAAGGTGTTTTGATGGCAGGATAATGAGGAGGGGGCTGGTGATAGCAAGATTCAGCACTTTGAGTAACTGTTCTGGAGGTGGGTGGCTGGGGATATTTAAGAACAACTGTATAAAAACATTGCCCGGGTGACATTTCAGGGCAGGGGAGTCAAAGAGGAAGGTCCAGATTCATGGAGAGAAACTAATTATAGACAATGACACAATCACAAAGACACGGGTCTCTCTGCTGGCCTGACCTGAAGTTCTTACACCTGATGAAGCTCTGGGAGCCTGCCATCAATCACACTGAGAAACGTAAGGGGGAACTTTGCTGTATCTACCCTTGACTACTGTTCCTAAGGTCTCTGCATTTTCCCAAGTCAACAATTCCTTCAAAACACGGATCTATTGATCGAGACCTAAGAAAGGGGAGGAGTGAATTTCAGTGATTCATATCTAGATCTTCACTTCTATGATTATAAGTGAGTTGAAGGCAGAGATAATAAATTACTCAACCTAGAATAAGCTACACTGCCTTAACTATAGCTAAGTAGGTGCTTCATAGACAAAGAACAGACGAAGGGAAGGAGGGAAGGAGGGAGGGAGGAAGGGAGGTGGAAGGAAAGGATAAAGGAAGGGACAGAAAGAAAAATAAATTTGGTCGGAGATGTTCAGGGAGGTGGAGAAGGGGGCAGTACTGAACTTGGCCTGCATCACAGAAGATGAGTGTCACAGAAGGAAGTCCCCTAGGGGGCCCATCCCCAAGTAGTTGTCGTTGAGGACAGTTTAGGTTTGGGGAATAATATGTAAACGTGTCATTCATTGGTCAAGGCTAGGTCTTTGATTTGCTTCTTTAATATATTCTGGATTCAGTTCTTTAATATAGTGGTAGGGTACAGGGGTGGAAGGGGGGTGACATCCTTTAATGGGGAGCCTGTAAAGGAAAAGACAAAGAAGTACCTCCATTTACTGTGTGTGCTCTATCCCATGAGGCTATTGAATGCGTCTGAGTCATTTCCTCTGGTGGTGACAGTTCTGTCCTCTATCCTGAGGAGGAAGTGAACGTTTAATACCTTACATTAGACCACCTTTTGCATATACAAGGATTCATTTCATTCCCAAAGCTCAGAGAATACTTAAATGGTAACACCAGGTTCTGCATGGGCATTTTGTCCCCATTCGTGTGACCATTTACTAGGGATAAAAGCTAAGGATACATTGCAGTCGTCATCCCGACTCAAGTCAGGGCAGGGGGCACTGTTTAAATGTATTAAAAAAAATTAATTTATCTCGCATCTAATTAAGCACTCTGCTATGCACCTACACTTGCCCAACTTATCTTACAAGTGCTAATAATTCCCAGATCAGGAGCTCGAGATCAGATTTATTTAGCTTGAACTTGATAGACATCTCTCTTCGAGGGTGGAGTTCAGACAAAATCAATCCCCTTCTACCTACCCATTGGTTTATTAAAGATCTTTAAACGAGACCTAACTACAAGCCCACTTTCATAATCATCATCCCGTGAGATGAAAATTAATTGCCGGACCAGAGAGGGTGGAAGTACAGAGGCGAGCAGAGGGGGCGGTCCCATCTTGAACACAGAGCCTTTCCGTTTCGCTGAAGTTCAAACCGCAAGGCCACAGTTCGCTCGGGGAGAGCGGGCACGTGTGTACGCCACGCATGCGCTCAGGGTAGGCCCACCCGCCTTTTCCGCCGGACCGCTCTCGCCCAGTCCCAGCCCGCCCTCCGAATGCCCGCCCTCAAGACTACACCCTCCGCCAATCGGGAGACCGGAGTCATCAGACACGTCACTTACTTAGCATAGACCGTCTCCCCGCCCCGTCAGTGGCTGGGATTGTCGCCTAAGCGCTTCGCCTTGGCACCTGATTGGCTCCTTTTCCAGCCCCGCCTCCGTCTCCCCCGCCGCCCTCCCCGCCGCGCCCCCACAGCGGTGGGCGGATCGTAGTACGCAGGGCGGACGCTGCCTCTCTCCTGGAGGCCCGCCTTCCCTCCTCCCCCTCCCTCCCCTCCCCACCCCTTCTCCCCTCCTCTCCGGGCCTGCGCGCGCGCGCCCTCCCGCACGCGCCGCCGCTAGTCTAGCACTCACGCCGGAGCTCCGGGCCGCGCGTTCCTTTTCCCCTCCGACTGCGGAGCGGGCGGCATCCTGCGCCGGGGTCGCGGCGGCAGCGGCGGCAGCCTCGGCGGGCTCGGGCGCCAGTAGCAGCGCGCGATCCATCCGGCGGACCGTACCACCGCCCGCCCGCTCGCGGGGGGGAGCCGCCTGCCCGGCCGCACACGCCTCGGCAACCCCGCGGGGCTGAGGCGTCGCCGCGCCCAGGAGCCTGAGCGCCGAGCCGGCGTCGACCCCGAGGTCGGAGCCCCGCGGGCCGCGCCCGCCGCCGGCCCCACCCATCCGGGTCGAGGAGGCCAAGGCCATGGCCGAGACGGAGGAGCGGAGCCTGGACAACTTCTTCGCCAAGAGGGACAAGAAGAAGAAGAAGGAGCGAAGCAACCGGGCAGCGAGTGCCGCGGGCGCCACGGGCGCAGCTGGCGGGAGCAGCGGAGCCGCGGGCGCGGCGGGCAGTGGGGCGGGCGTGGGGGCCCGGCCGGGCGACGGCGGGACCGCGGGGTCCGCGGGCCCTGGGGCCGCCACCAAGGCCGTGACGAAGGTGAGGGGCCGGGATTCGGGCCGGGGCCGCGCGCGGGCGCCCATGTGCCTGCCCCCGCCCGCCTGGCTGGCGGAGCGTCCGGGAGGGGCCCGGGGGCCGACGGGCGCGGAGGCCGGCCACGTGACGTGGGCTTCTCCGGTCGGGCCGGCGGGACCCCCCCGACCTCGCTCCCGGTCCGCCCTTCTGCACCCGGAGGCGCCTGGCTTGAGCCGGGACCGAGGCAGCAGCACCCTCCCTCCCGGGGCACTGGGTCTGGGTCCGAGGCGCCCGGCACAGAGCAGCATGTGTCGAGTGACGTCCCCTCGAGCCATTTAGGGCTCGGGCTTCAGCCCCGTGGTCGGAGCTGAATGTTCTGACGATCGCATGGGTAGCAACTCTCGTTCGCATGACTTGGTCTCTAAGCCGGTGAAAGAAAGAGAAAAGAATCACACGGCGACCTGGAGGGAGACACTAAGTTGTGGGCTCGCTGTTGACTTTTGCATTTGGCTTTTCCTGGTGGGTTTTCAATTAACACCTCGCGTAAAAGGAACCGGGTGGAAGTAACAGTGTTGAAAGGGCACGTTCGTCCTCCAGCCCTAGTCGACCTCGGGATCCAGCAAGGGCTGTGGCCAGAAAAATGAGCCCATGCTTTTAGGGTCCAGCCACGTGATCCACTTCTCATAGTCCGATCTTTGCCTTAGTGGTCCTTTGACGAATAGCTTTAATTGATCGAATGGTATGTGCTTTACAGGATGAAGATGAGTGGAAAGAATTTGAGCAGAAAGAGGTGGATTACAGCGGCCTCAGAGTTCAGGCAATGCAAATAAGGTATGGCCGTGTTACAGATATGTTCCCATCACCCTGAGGATAGGGGGTGTATGTCTGGTTTTTCTTTCAGCCCCCAAACAGCATCCTAGTAGCCTTGCGCTTTAGATATGCTAATTAGGGCTCTAATAGATGGTGCCTGTTCCTTCTCTCTGTGATGGCAGTCATTCTGTATGTTGATCGGAATAGCTGCCAGCTCCAAAATCCTGAGAGAGCTTGCCTACTTCCAGCCCTGGTTAGGTATTTTTATTTTTTATTTGAGACAGCTAAAGTTGATTTTGTGGTTTCAAAGTATTTACTTTTTTTTTTTTTTTCCAAAGTATTTCTTTTAATAGTGGTGGGTTGAACTTAGTTTTTCTTTGTGTTTCAAAAATAACATGGATTCCCCTGACCGGTTTGGCTCAGTGGCTAGAGCGTCGGCCTGCGGACTGAAGGGTCCCGGGTTCGATTCCGGTTAAGGGCATGTACCTTGGTTGCAGGCACAACACCGGTAGGAAGTGTGCAGGAAGCAGCTGAATGGATATTTCTCATCAATGTTTCTAACTCTCTATCCCTCTCCTTCTCCCTTCCAATCTGTAAAAAATCAATAAAATATATTTAAAAAAAAAAAATAACATGGATGGTTTTCAGGTCCTTTCCAATGAGCAGGTGAATGTGTATTTTTGTAATTGAAGCATTCTTACAGGGAAGTACAGGTTTTTTATATTCACACAGTGAAACCAACCTGTGTAATCAGCACCAGAATCAGAAAACTGAACATTAGGAAGCTCCCCTCCTAACCCTTTGTAGCCAGTGCCTTCACCCCGCAAGGATAACCACTCCTAACGCTATAGATTAACTTTCCCTAGAATTTCCTAGGAACAGAATCAAACATGTTATTTTTACAGTTTAAGAAAACAGTAATTTATTTATTTTTTTTAATCCTCACCAGAGGAATTTTTTCCATTGATTTTTAGAGAGAGTGGAAGGGAGCGAGAGAGAGAGAGAGAGAGAGAAACGTTCAAAACATCGATGTTAGACAACAATTAGTTGCCTCCCTCACGTACGTACCCCTACCTGGCCACGAAGAGAACCTGCAAACCAGGTTGACTGGGAATAGAACCCCTTGGGCCGATGCTTTAACCATTGAGAAACACTGGCCAGGGCAAGAAAACGGTAATTTTTAAAAATTGGATTGGTTGAATTTTAGAAGATTTGAAACTAAGAAATATTTTATGGCTTGGCCAGAGTGGCTCAGTGATTGAGTGTTGACCTATGAACTAGGAGGTCACAGATCGATGCCAGGTCAGGGCACATGCCCAGGTTGCAGATGCATTCTCCAGTGGGGGGGCATGCAGGAGGCAACCCGTCAGTGGTTCTCTCTCATCACTGATGTTTCTATCTTTCCCTCTTCCTTCCTCTCTGAAATCAATAAAAAATAGATGTGTTTTGTTTATTTTTAAGTCCAACCTGTGCGGTTATTTTTAGATTCATGTAAATAAACGTAGGAAAAACAAGTGAATATAGGCTTCCATTGGTTTAAGATTTAAAACCCTTTAATCACAGTTTGAAGTTTGCAATTACTGATGCCAGTGACCACGTGGCACAGTGGAGAAAATAATTTTCCTTAAAGAAATAATGTCTTTTCACCTCTCTAGATGGTAATATTTATGGCCTTAACGCATTCAAAAACCAGGGCTAATTTTGACATGTGTTGAATATCTACCACAGTTAGGTATTAATGTCCTAGCTTCTTTCACATCATTTCCTGAGCTTAACCAAAGTGAAACCTGATTGATGACGGGAACTTTGAGGAACTGCAGCTTCTCCACTCTTGGTTCTTCTGTCTTGGTGTGAAGTAGCAGTGATTAGACTGGAGTTTTCTCCCTTAGCCGTTTGGGTGTGTGGAACTGCCTGTGTGGGGGGTTCCTGTTTCGATGTGGAATAAGGCTCTTGGTCTGCCTCTTCTGACAGCATATTCTTGGAGGAGACTTGAATGACTGGAGGCATAGTGTTTGCTCATGTTGAACTTTAGCAAGAGTAGCAATTTTAGAGGGAAAAATGTTTCAAGTTAATGTTAGACATTGACTTTGTTATATTATGGAGGATTTTAAACTGCACCTATTTTTGTCATTGAGTATATATCCGATATCCATATTCAAGGCTATTTTAGTCTTCATTTCGGCTACTCCCAAGATGGTGAAACATTCCTTAAATTACAATCAAACCTCGGTTGTTGAACAAAATTTCAGGCTTCAGTTCTCAAGGGGACAAACCTTTCGTGCCGATTATTCAATACATACAATAAGTCTCCATAAGTTCTAAGAAGGTTAGTGATAGCAGCAAAGTGAAAAGGAAAGTTGTGAGAACAATACTTGAGCTTAGATAGGTACTGTACATAAGAAAGGTTAAAAAGGAATCATTTGAGGGTCTGGAATGGATTAATTCAATTTACATTATTTTTAATGGGAGAAAAAATTATTTGGGTTTTCTAACAAATCGCTTCTTGAACAGCCAGAACAAATTAGGTTCTAGAACTGAGGTTCCACTGTACTTACATCCTTCACCTTTGCCGGGGGCATAAGTAAATCTCAGCTAGGATGAGCATTTAAGTTCTGCTTGACCTGAAGTAGAGCAGCGTTGATATTGTGTGTTTTTCATTATTCTTACCATCTAGTCACTGCCCCTAAGTGGCCATCCAGAGGTCTTCCTCTAACCCATTAACATTGAAAAAACTATCTGCTTCAAGAAGCTGCTTTTGTGGATCCTCAGTCTCTATGGAGTCTGGGATCTGTATTTGCATTTTTATAAATCATTCAATAAAGGGAAATCTGACAGCTCCTGGGGAAGGCTTGAGAGTGAGAAGCCATTTGAAGTTTAATAACAGGGACTAAGACTTTGACTTTATATTCAATACCCTTATAAACTGCAAATTAAATGTTCTTGACCATGGTACTCAATAGGGTCCCCAAGGAAAGACACGTTTCTTCAATGGGATGGAGTTGATAATATGGCAAAAAGATGGACTTCAGGAGAAAGACAAACCTGAGTTTGCATTTTACTCTTGCTTGTGTGTGACCTTGGGCAAGTCACTATTTACTTTTTTTGTTAATCCTCACCCGAGAATATTTTTTCATTGATTTTCAGGAAGATTGGAAGAGAGTGGGAAAAACAGAGAAACATCGATGTGAGAGAAACACATCGATTGGTTGCCTCTGGTTGCTCCTGCACGAGCCCCGACCAGGGCCCATGCTGGGGA